ATTTTCAGCAATCTCATAAAATTAAATTTGATAAAACTTATTTCATCATACGAGTCACATTTCCCATGGACTTAACAATAAATAAATAAATAATTATAAAAAATTATAAATTATAAAAAACATTAAAATTAAAATGTATAGGTTTAGCCTCGTAAAATTACGTTTCAGACCACTGTGCATGGGCGTGAATATTGGTTAATGAGTGGGGAAATTATTATTGTGTTCAGAATTTTTTCCTTCTCTCATTATCGGCCGTTGACCGAACACCGGTCGTCGAACATTCCACAAGGCCGGGGCACAATATGACCTAAGGTCATTGACCTTCTACCTTACACCGACCTCAGCAGCTGCCGGATTATTTTTCACTTCGCCACTACTGCTTCTTCGCCGTCATCCGACCACCACCAAACGTTCATGTGTACGATCGCTGACGACCCCCACTACCGACACCGAGAAAACTGCCTAAGGTACCGAAGATCACAATCTCTGGAACAATGAACGTCGCGTAAAATATTAAGCGCCGCCACGCCGTTTACCCAGCGTTCTTCGGATTAGGATTCTCGGCATTAATATTACCGACATAATACCTAAAATAGGTACCTGCGATAGAACTGATATTAAAATAATCACTGATAATGAATATTATTACATTTTTATTTGAAAAAAATATATTACAGTTAGATAGAGGTATTATGGTAACACATGCATTGGAACATTCAGCTGGCGATAAACTATATGAATCATTTAATGATTTTTAAAATATATTAAATATAATACGATATAATAATAATCAGTGAGTAGAAACACATTTACGGCTAAAATCGCGTCTACTGGAATACGTATCGACTGTAGATATCGAATTCCAGGCGAACGTCAAGTGCGCGCACTGTATTCACTATTGTGACGACGGACATTCATCCCGCAGTTGAAAAGATTCTAGGAGTAGAATACTATACTGTAGTTGTGCGTCTTGTCTAACCTGTACTTATCGTACGACGCTCATTTCTTCCCTGTCAAGTGTTCTTGAAGGACATTTAAATTTTTTACTTTTATTAAAACGACTTTGTAGTTGCGTCTGTGTGATCTGTCCTTATCGTACACCCTTCATTTCTTTCCAGTAAGTACATTTTAATTTATTCTATTTATATTTAGGTAGGTATACATTTAAATTTCTTTTTTTCTTTTATTTTTTCGTTCACTTTTTTATCGTTTCTGTAATACATAGGTATTGGTACTGCATTAGTAGGCAGGTAATCAATTCATTGATTTCACAAATAATAACAATGTTTTAAATTTTTATAATTTTTTCTTTTTTTATAGCTCAAGGTATTATATGATTATCGTAGCAATACGTTTACATATTATGCAATAAAATGTAATATTGTAAGAAGAATTAAATTTATTTACTCGACAATGCTGAATAATAAACAATGAATAGAACTATACGTTGGCCTTTAATTTAAGAAAAATCCAAAATGAATCAAAATAAATTAAACATTTTACCATGGAAAAATGTAGTCTACGATTATTCGTTTTTAATTACAACAAAATATCAAACATTAATAAATGATAATTCATTAATTATTTACCGGTGAAAATCCAAAATCGTAAAAATTTAAAATTCAAATGATTATAAAAAATGTATGTTATATTCCGGTAAACTTTATTTTTGTTTAAAGTAGACAAATCTGTACAGAATCTTCTACTAAAATGTATAATGTTAGCTACGGAAAGAAAAATTTATGAATTTCTAACTGAAAAATAATTTGAAAATTTTCGAGAATTTGATGGATTAATTTGAAAACTATAAATAATAGGTATTAGGTAGTTAAATAAAGCCATAATTTTATAATAGGTATAAACAGAGTGTAACAGAAATACATGAAACAAATTAGGCTAGTTAAAACGTTTGTCAAAATTTGTGAAAATTATATGGTCATAAATTATTTATTAACTATATTTTAGGTAGTTAATAAATAACTTAAAAAATATACTCTTTTTAAGAAATTCCCAAAAAAATAAAATTTTGAAAAAAAGTTATTACTTTCCAAATTAATTTACTTAAAAAATATTTATATTTAAGAAAATTCTAGAAAATAAACTACTTGACTTAGATAAATGTTTTTACCATCAAAATTGTTCTTATAAAGAGATTTACAAATTTTCTATTTTGAATATTTCCAAAAAAATTTTAATATAAATCAGATGTTTTTATATTCAGTATTAAAAAATAAAAATAATGCCTACCTTAAAGACAAATTAAATTTTTATGAGCGTTTGAAGCTCCAATTATTACAAAATTGGATATTGACTCAATTTCTCATATCACGATATTCTTATTTTGTTGTAATTAATAAACGAATATCGGTAAATACTTTAAATTTACATTAAATGTTTATATTCTATACTTGATAAAATTTTCAACATATTTTGACGTGTTTTGAGGAGCTTACGGAAAAAGCTGGAAAATTTAATAGAAAGCGCCTCATAAATAATTTCAATATCTGTTTAAAATTATATAAACAAGATTTTTTATAAGAATTTAAAGTTTAAATTTTGACAAAATTAAAATTTAAAATTATTTTGTAGTTAAAAATGTATTAAATGTTACAATTTTGTAGCTTAGGATTGAGAATTTAAAAAAAGACCCTTTACATGTTTCGTGTCTAAGATGATAGATAGGTACTTAAAATGTAATTAAATTTGCCTGAAAAATACTTCTAACTCGATAATGAATCATTGAAATATTTGTGTTCTATAGCACTTAAGAGGATGCCACCCATGCATTTGTTGTCTTCATCTTACACACGAGAAAAGAAAATTTTCTTTCATTAGTTTCAATAGTGAGCTGTTAATTTTGATATTAGAGTGATTTTAAGTATTATAATTTTTTTAGATAATAACATTATAATATTATGTACTAGGTATAATTAAATGCTTAACACCAGGGGGAGGGCAATATTCTTTTGTATGTATATATTTAAACAATATTAATTTTATATTTTTTTATATTTTATAAATTATATTTAAATAATATAATTAGTCGGCCATATTTTAAAAATAAAGAGTAAGATATGTTGCCATTAAGGGGCATGACCCCTTTGCCAAACATAGATAAAAATAAATTTTATGTTTTTTTTTACATTTTAAAATTTGATAAAAAAATTACTATTTATTAGTTTGACAGTAAATATTTAAGTTTGCTCCACCTCTATTATTTTAATCTTTAAAACTTAAAACTATTCATCTGAAATTCGATTTTTATATTTTGAGATACTCAAAAAAATATTCTGCTATTGAATAAGAAATTGGATGTTGTCAATAAAAAAAGAAAACAATGTAAAAAAAGGTGCTCTGCTGTACAGTAGGTTACAAGTGGGTCACTGTATAATGGATGGTATTAAATTTGAATTCAATGATATAGTATCATTGTATAAGAAAAACGATTCTGAGGGGAGACGGTATGTCAGTCTAGGTTTAAGACATATTATATACATATCTATGGTATTAAAAAAAAATTTACCTATAATAAATTCCAAATTAATCATATCACAATATCCATTACGTACTTATAATGCGATGTACATCAATAACAAACTGTGATACTATCATAGATATATAATAGTACACTTTAGAAGTTTCAAGTACCCACAAATAATATAATACAATCACAACAAAATAACTACCATAGTTATTTTATTTTTTTTAATATGTAATTTTATCCAAAATTGAAATTAAATTGACTATAAAAATAAACTGCAGTAATTGTGTATTTTTCTGATTTTTTGGTAACAAAATTAACTCATTACACGGAATCTTGTTTTAAATTTTCAATCCTTAGATATAAAAGTTAAACATTTTATACATTTTTAAATACAAAATAATTATTCAATTTTAAATTTGATAAATGTTGTCAAAATTCGATCTTTAAATGTTTATAAAAAAAATTGTGTCTATGTATTTTTAATATTTATTAATTATTAAGATAAAACTATAATAATTCTTTCAGAAGCTGTTGATACATGTACGCCAGGTAATACACCCAATAGTCCACGCTATGTAAACTGTTCATGTTGCAATGAATACTCAGACAGATAAATATTGTCATATTCCTAAGATTATTCCCAGGTATTGTTGCGAGTAGTAGTGATGCAATTTAAAAATAATAATAATTTTATTTTTGTGAATCAGTTGGATTGTCATAAATATATTTATTATTTATAAATAAACATTCTTATTATGATAGAAGTGAAAAAAAAACATGGCAGTGCATAATGTGTAAAGATATGAATACCATATCAAGGAATTTAGGCGATGATGATGATCCAGAAAATATTTCCATTGGTACGATTGGGCGTAAAATTGTTGAGCGTATACTAATGGAATTGTATTGTAACATCGACGGAAGTGATTTTTTCAGAGAACGTCATAATAAAAATGTTGTAAGTTTGATAATAACTATAAATTATAGGAAAAAACAGAGGCAATTAATTGGCTAAACAATCTAGAAATACCACTCTAATAAGCAACAAAGTTCCTGGCCCAGTTACCTTTAAATTTAGGATAAATTTATCATAGTTTTGTCACATCTTAAAAATTGTTATGTTACCTATAGTAATTTTAAGTTTAAATTTATCTAATACCTATTTATTGTTATAATTTCTTACTCATTTATCATAGTCTAACGAATCGTTGTCTAACTTATTGTATTTAACATACATTTTATATTTTTATAACTATATAAGCCAACATGTCATATGCAAAATAAATAATAAATTATAGTTTCCTAATTCTGTAATTATTTCTGTTAACTATTATAAAATATTATTTTATTTCGTAGTTTCCTAGGTATTATAAGAACATTGTTCATGCTGTAGCATTAAATGATGTTAGAGATTTTCTGATAAACAAAATAAAGTATAAGCTCAGTGAGGTTGTGGAAGACTTAAAACTAGTGCTTGTTAATGCTATGTCATACTTTGAAGTGAGTATTAAATATTAACTCACATTTTTTGTTGTTTTTACCTGTTTTTTTGCTAAATTTATATATACTTGTCCGTGTAAATACTATTTGGTGTCAATTTGAATATAATTTTTTTAAATTTCTATCTGTTAAGTACCTAAACAAATATCTGAATTTTCATACTTATAGAATGATATAAGTTTTGTTTATAAACATTAAATTGAAGTTTTTTCAGGTATTATTGAATTACATATCTTTGTCCATAGTGCAAATATTTGTGATGTCAAATTAATTTTCATTATCAAGACATAAAATAGATTGTTTTGGCCATTATTAAAACCTAGAGAGTTGTGTGAATTAGTAGTTTTAGAAATTCATAATCATTATCAAAATTATAATCTCATAATTGTAGAGAATATTTGGTTCATATTTTGTTTAATCGTAAGTTTGATTTTCCTTCAAAGTTCATCTTCATCTTGTTATTATTAAAGTATTTCGCAAGCAGTATATCACTCGTTGAAATGTATATAGAAAAAGGTGGGTAAGTGGATGTCGCTCTGCTGTACAGTAGGTTACAAGTGGGTCACTGTATAATGGATGCTATTAAATTTGAATTCAATGATACAATATCATTGTATAAGAAAAACGATTCTGAGCGAAGACGGTATGTCAGTCTAGGTTTAATACAAATTATATACATATCTATGGTATTAAAAAAAAAAATTGACCTATAATAAATTCCAAATTAATCATATCACATTATCACAATATCCATTAGGTACTTATAACACGTTATACATCAACATCAACAACAAACCCTGATACTATCATATATAATATATATATAATACAGTCGATTCCGCTTAATAGAGACACCGGTTAATAAGGACAACCGCTTAATAGGGACAATTCTTCAATTACAAAAACAAATGTATACTTGTAGGGTAAACATTCGCCGCTTATTTGGGCCACGAATCCGGATAATTGGGACATTTTTATCGAGTATATTAATAAATCAATAGTTCAACAATCGTGACGGACTCTCGTAATCGATTATTACATTACATTTTATCTTATTTAACTTTATTTCATCTTATCTTTTATCATATGTTCAAATGTGATAGTTGTTAAATTTTATTTGGTGCAATGGTGCATCAGTCGTGTTTGTCGCGTGTAGCAACGATGGCTCGTGTACGTAAAGATTTATCGTTTGCTCAAAAATTAGAAATTCTGGACAAAATTAAATTACAGCTACCAGGCTGTAATACACGTCGTCTTTCGGAAATTTTTGGAGTACCGAAATCAACAGTTTTTTTAAATAAGATAAAATACATAATAAAAAAATAAAAAATATTTATATGTACCTACTTTATATGTAAGTATTTTTATAAATAATTAGGTTATATCATGTTTTTTTTTTATACTATCAAATAATTTCTATAATAAATTGTTTGTAATTTGTAATAATAAAAATATATAAAACAAATCAGTTTTTCAACAAATTTATATGTTGGTTTTTGTATTTCAGATTATTGGGACAACCGCTTTATTGGGACAAAATAACACCCAACCGATGTGTCCCAATAAAGCGGAATCGACTGTAGTACACTTTAGAAGTTTCAAGTAGGTACCCACGAATAATATTATATAATCACAACAAAATAACTAGGTTTTTTAATATGTAATTTCGTCCAAATTTGAACATAAAATGACTATAAAAGTAAACTGTGATTGTATATTTTTTAGATTTTTCGGTAAGAGAATTAACTACTTACGTGGAATCTTGTTTTAAATTTTCAATCCTTAGCTATAAAAACTGAACATTTTATAATTTATTAATTACGATGATTAATAATTTTCGAGATTTTGAAAAATTCTATCAAAATTCGATGTTAAAATGCTTATAAAAAAAATTGTGCATATGTATTTTTAATATTTTTCAACTGATATTGTAACAATATATCAGGAGCCTTGTATTAAATTTTTACACTTTTTGGCCCAACAGATAAAACTTAATTGATATTTATAGAAAAAAAAAACTAAAAAAATTGAAAACTGAAAATGTCCGTAAACGGCTCAAAAAGAGTCAAAATATTTTCAAAATTGTATGGTGTATAGGAAATGCTAATATAAACATTCAGTGAAATTTTCATGTATTTACAGTAATTCGTTTTTTAATTACAACAAAAAAAGGAAATTGCCACATGAGAAATCGAGTGAATATCCAATGTTGTAAAAATTTGAATTTCAAACGCTCATAAAAATTTAATTTGACTTTCCGGTAGAGATTTTTTTATTGATAAAGGTAGACAATCTTATGAGTAATCTTGTATTAGATTTTCAAATCTTAGATTTAAAAAGAAAAATTTTTACGAATTCTTAACTCAAAATAATTTGCTAATTTTCATGATTTTTCCATATTTTGTCAATTTTTGAACTTTAAATGCTTATAAAAAAAAACTGTGACTAACGATTTTTAATATTTTTCATCTGCCTTTGAAACAATATATTAGGAGCCTTCTATTAAATTTTCAAGCTTTCGCAACCAACAAATAAAATTTTATTGATATTTCTAGAAAAAAAACTAAAAAAAAACGAAAAATGAAAATGACCCTAAACAGTTCAAAATAAATCAAAATATTTTGAAAATGTTATCGTGTATAGAAAATGCAAATATAAACAACCAGTGAAAATTTCATGTATATACGTTCATTTGTTTTAGAGTTACACCAATAACCAAAATCGATTTTTTGGAAAATCAATTTTGCGTAAAAATTCCCGTTTTTCCTTAATTTTTATGTTGTTTTTCCCGGCGCTTGTGAAAACTACTGGGAAATTTTGACCTCCCCAATGCACCAACGATATTCAATTTCCAATCGAACAAGATACTGAAGTCGAAAATCGAAGCATTATTTCGACTACTTATCGTGTACACAGATACAAAAAAAATAAAAAAATAAAAAAATAAAAAAACACACATCATTGTAAAATCAATACATTCATCGTTTCACTCAGAATCTAAAATATGACACGGGATCCATTTATAAATTCCATCTTAATATATTAAATTATTTACTCTTTGTAGTTTCTAAATTATTTTTAATTTTTAATTAACATATTTTTAAATCGATGATCCAAATTTTAATTCGGCGAGGAGACTTCTAATTTATCTACACAGTTTGTACCAATCGTGGATAATGTATCCCTCAAAAAATAAGCAGTGGACTGTAGTTTTATCAGAATAACCGGTTGTGCATCAATGATGTCATCAAGTACATTCTTATTCTGACCAGAGAATAAGTATACAGATTAAGGTTTGTAATTAATTATCTTTACAATAATGAATACCTAGTCATAAACTTAGTTTATTATATAGATTAGGACATTAAGTTATATTGTTGTATTTTTGTCTGATACAGTGATACTACTCTGATCACTAAAAACAAAAATATAATGATATAAATGAGATAACAAATGTGTTTAATCGATTTTAATTTCACGGACATTTTTTGAAACACTTAATATTACTACAAACTATCAAGTGTTAATTAATAACTTGCCAATAAGTCTTGCAATTTATAAGTCTTATTTAGCTTAAAAATGTAATACCTACTTAAGGGTTTTATATTATATGAAATAAAATTTTATTTTTTTGTAATAATTATCTTCTGTTACAACGTTAGGTATAAATAACATTATTTTAAGAGGACGCTACACCTCCCACACTCGCATGTGTAGTCTTCGTCTTACAAGTGCGTGACATAGCAAGTTTACGCTCAGCAGATCACGTTTAGCTCCATAAGTTTAAAAATTAGAGTTAATCGGCCTAACACAAAACTTGATGGTAAGAACATTATCTGTGTTTGTATGTTCGTTTTTTTACGATAGGTACCTAGTTAAATTGTTTAGCAAGTTATGCGTGATATAACGTAAATTAAAAATGCTCATAACTCACTAAAAACTGAATAATCGTAAGAAACCAACATGCAAAGACAGTATACAGATAATGTTCTTAACGTCAAATTTCATAGTATGTAGGTATTGGTAATAATTTTATTGGGTTATAATTTAAAAATTCATTAACTTGAATTCCAATATAACACGTACACAAAAAAACGTACGTATGTATGTAACTGTTATGACCATTATTCTGTAATAGCCGTTTTCCGCCGTTGGTACGTACACTGTACCCCCTACTCTCCTCCCGCCATACCTTATCGCACGGATTGCGTGTACAGTTGTGCTGGACATTTTTACGTGAGAGTAGTTCGAGTGTCGCAGTAACGGTCGGACCGGGGTTGTTGTGCGGGATTGTTGTTGTTGTTATTGTTGTCAATTTGTGTACCACTCAACACCGTTGGTTTTTTTTTGTTCTACCACCGTCATTACCGTCACCACCGCCAACTACACCTACTTTACCGCCCTCAGTTGCAGCGACTACCTACCACACCGTACCACCTCACCACCTGATCACGGATTGCCTGCAGGTTCTTTTTTTTGTTTGTTTGTTGTTTTATTTTATTGTTAATTATTATGAGATACTGCCTTGTTTTGTTTTATATTATTGTGAAACAACAATAATATTATTATCCCACAGCTGGCCAGCACCAATTGTGACCCCCCCAATTATCAATTATTTTATTGTATTATTCTAAATAGTAGGCCGTCAACCCGGCAATGAAACTTAACCACAACCGTGTTATTTGATTCATACAGTCCATTATATTCCGAAACATTGGTCCATCGAGCCTAGGATCTTTTATACTTCTAGGTCCTAAGTGATATTACTATTTACCGCCTACCGGAAAAGTTACCAAGAAAATATTATTTATTTAATAGAAAAATAATTGAAAAACTACATTATGAGTTTATTGTTATAGGTGTGGGTTTAATTATTATATTAGCTAAAATTGTTGTATGATAATATTTTATGTTAAACTTATTATAATAATATTACGTAAAAAGGGTAGATAAGACAATACCATAAAAGGAGAAGTGGATTGGACTTTGACCCGCCGCGCGCCGTCGACTGTTTGAATTATTGTTATTAGAATAATTAGTGCCGCCGTGACGGGACTGATAGTAAAAAAAAAAAAACTAGGTCATTACCAATACTTATTTTAGATACGGATACCGTTTATTTTCGTTGCGATATTTTATCGATACAGTATAGATCGATTTCATTCGGAATATCAAGTCTTACTATAGTGCAATGGGAGTATTTGAAGAAGCGAAAATTCGTTTATCGGATATACAAAAACGTATTAACCGAGTACGTTGCGCTGGAGACGAATTGACAACTACTCCTACCAACCAAACAGCGAAAACCAAATTTCGGATGATGTACGCAACAGTCCTACGTCTTCAAGAGGAATTTGAGTCACAGATTGCAATAATCATCAAGCAGCTAGGGAAGCCAGATCAGAAGAGTGAAGAGGACACCTCGCCTGAAGATCTACGAGAAAAATTCGACGAGGCCTATTTCAGTATTATGATTGTAGCAGACGAATACCTACCAACACACCAGCAGCACTCCAGAGCAGATGATACGTTTATTGAAGCCAGTTACTCTCGCAACAAAACCCAGTTGATACCATTAGAAAAATTGTCTATACCGCGATTTAGAGGGGATGTGAAAGAGTACACAGGTTTTCGTAATTTATTTGACACATTCGTACACAACAACTCAGATTATCTAACAGTCGTAAAATTTAGCTATTTAAGAGCATATCTAGAGGGTGAACCGTTAAAGATTATCACTAACTTGACGTTAAGTGATGATAACTATAATCTAGCTTTAAAATTGTTGGATAATCGTTACTCGAACCGCCGTATTATTGCTCAGAGTCATTTCGATCAGTTGTGGAACATGCCGAAAGCAGTGTTTGGTGATGAAAAAACCATTCGGCAGGTATTGAGCATAATTACGGAGTCAGTTGGTGCCCTCAAGAACCAAGGTTATGCAGTCGATCAATGGGACCCTATTTTACTACATCTGTTCCAGATGAAGATTGATCAGCAGCTACGAGTTCAATGGGAACTTCTAATAGACACCAATGATGACCCTAGTGTGGATGAATTTACTACGTTCTTGACGAAGTTTTGCAAAGCTGCATCTGCCAGCCGTCCCGCTAATGTGCGTGAAAACGTGGCATACACTAAATCCCAACCAAAACTGACCACCTTACACACTGCACAACAACACCATAAGTCAGCATCACCGGGGCACAACTACCAAAGTGAGAACAAACGTCAATTTACATGCCAAGTTTGTAAAGCGAAACCAGGCCATCTATTAATCGCTTGCTCCGTTTTCAAAGGGAAAACACCGAGAGAACGATATCAGACCATAAGAGAGTTAAATCGCTGTTTTTTGTGTTTCAGTGAACACACGGTCTCAAAGTGTAAACATAACAAGGTGTGTTCGGAATGTGGGGGTAGTCACTATTCACTTTTACATTTTGACACCAAAGAATCTGAATCTGAACCAACGGTTGAACCTCCAGCAACACCACCAACCATGTCCACCTGCTTTTCATCTTTGGATACTAGACCTTATCATACAAGTGTTCTGATGTCAACCATAATTGTTCACGTTCAAGATGCTAATGGACATCAGCAAGAAGCAAGAGCCTTACTAGACAGTGGAAGTCAGACCAGTTTTATTACCGAATATTGTCGAAAACGATTAGGCTTACCACGCCAAAAATGCTGTATAGCTGTACAAGCGGTTGCAGGCATGCCGGTTCCTTCGATAAAGGCAAAAACCATTCTAATCATTAGACCTGTTCGACAGGAAACCCCTCAGTTCACGGTCGATGCTTTTGTTCTCCCCCAAATAACCGGACTAATTCCGTCGGAGTGTGTGATAAAAACCGAGTGGCCACACATCGATAAACTTGACCTGGCTGACCCCAGATATAATGAACCAGCCCCCATTGACATCCTACTAGGGGCAGAGGTTTTCCCTTATATCATCCGAGGAAATCGAAGAGAGGGGACTGATCGTGAGCCAGTCGCCATCGAAACCGTATTTGGATGGGTTTTAATGGGGCGCTCTTCGGTCAGCCCGACCGCTACCACTACTACGTTGTGCACTTCCTTAGAATTGGTCAATACCTCACTACGTCGTTTTTGGGAAATTGAAGAACTTCCTAACATCGTCAAAACCAGCCCTACGGAAGAACAATGCGAGAAGATCTACCATACCACTACCACCAGACAGTCTGATGGACGATACGTAGTTCATCTACCATTTATAGAGTACCCACCTACACTTGGAGAATCTCGTCATCTTGCTTTAAAGCGACTAATGCAATTAGAATCTCGTTTGGAAAAATCAACGCAATTAAGGAGTGACTATAACGAGGCTATGTACGATTATCTCGAATCTGGGCACATGAATCGAGTTGAAACTACTGCAACCAATGACACTTCGTCATACTATATTCCACACCATGCTGTCTTGAAGCCAGGAAGTACTACCACAAGAGTACGCGTGGTCTATGATGCATCTGCAACCTCGACAAACGGAAAATCATTGAACGATCACCTCTATCCTGGACCTAAACTCCAACAGGATCTGCCTGGAATAATAATACGTTTTCGATTGCACAAAGTGGTTTTTACGACAGATATTAAACAAATGTTTAGACAGATCGTCGTTACCCCAGACCACCGATCATACCAGCGACTGCTTTTTCGATTTAAACCCTCTGATCCAGTGCAAACGTTTGAGATGTCCACTGTCACGTTTGGTCAACGTTCATCGCCGTTTTTGGCAATAAGGACATTACACCAGTTGGCAACTGACGAAGCCAAGAACTACCCAGCTGTTGAGCGAATCATCCTCAATGATTTATATGTGGACGATGTCGCTACTGGAGCTGATTGTGAATCAAGTGCTCTTAAACTGCAGCAAGATCTGATAAAGGTATTCGACCGTGGTTGTTTTGAACTAAGGAAATGGTCTAGCAATTCTGTCGCGTTGTTAGAGGCCGTTCCGCCGGACTGTCGCCAAACAGACCCGGTTACCTTTGATGAGCCTACGTCAGATTACACCAAAGTTCTCGGGTTAAAATGGGAACCTAACCACGACATCTTGGCATACCAATATCAACCTAACCCTGTACGCTTTAATAAGCGTGCCATCCTATCAGAAATTGCACGCATTTACGATCCGATTGGACTGCTGACACCAGTCATCACTAGCCTAAAATGCATCATGAAATATTTGTGGTCCATTGGAGTTGGGTGGGATGATCAGATTCCGGATGATGCCACAAAAGTATGGTCCCAATATCATGAAGAGCTGCCCTTCATCGGATTGATCAAAATACCACGTCAAGTGACAACAGAAAAGGGTACTTACGAACTTCACGGGTTCTGTGACAGTTCAGAAATAGCATACGCTGCAGCAGTTTATCTTCTGGTACGATCAACCAATACCACTCAATGTCACCTTCTCATGGGAAAGTCCAAAGTAGCACCAGAAAAGAAATTGTCGATTCCGCGACTCGAACTTTGTGGAGCTTTACTCCTCGCCCGGACTATTGAATATGTACGAACCAATTTAACTTCATTGCAGATCACAAACGTCACTGCCTGGTGTGACTCCACAGTAGTGCTCACATGGATCCAAATGCCAACGGCAAGATTGAAAACGTTTGTGGCGAATCGCGTCGCTCAAATTCAGCATATGACCTCATCTGACAGCTGGAGACATGTACCCACTGCACAAAATCCAGCAGACTGTGCCACTCGTGGCTTGACTCCGAAAGAAATAATTGATCACCCTATCTGGTGGACCGGCCCGCAATTTCTTACTCAACCTTCGGAAACATGGCCGCAAGTAACCATCTCCAACACTGTCGAACCGGGAGAACACAATGTCGAAGAAAAACCCTTGATACTACTAGCCGTCCAAGTTGAAGAAGAGAGTAAGCTCTTAACCTCATCAGCTGACCTCCCTAAAGTCCTCCGTCTCACTGCATACTGGTTACGGCTTCGGAGACGTTTAGCCCACCAACCAATGGTATTTGATGAAAACCAATCACCGGGAATAAAAGAGAAAAATGAAGCGTTACTTGCTTTATTACGATGGGTACAGCGCGTACACTTCGCAGATGATTTGAAACTTCTTACCGCAGGTCGAAACTGTTCAACCAAACTCCGGTTATTGAAAGCATTTATAGACCCAATGGGGGGTCTCCTCAGGGTGGGCGGGAGACTTCGCGAGTCTGATTTACCGTTTAAAAATCGCCATCCTATCTTATTACCGAAGAACTCCCAGTTGACGATACTATTAATCGATTTTGTCCACCGTCAGCATTGTCACCCAGGACCTCAAACAACTCAGAACATTCTTCAACAAGAATATTGGATCATTTCCGCTCGAAGTTTCATACGAAAACGACTCCGTCAATGCGTATCCTGTTTCAAAGCCAGTCCGAAGCCCTTGCAGCCTAGTATGGGAGACTTACCGAAGCCAAGACTAGTTGGTACAAAACCATTCTCTCACGTGGGTGTTGATTTCGCTGGACCGTTCTTCGTAAAAGCCGCTCTTCTAAGACGGATCCAGACGACCAAAGGGTACTTATGTATTTTTGTATGTATGGCAACTCGTGCGGTCCATTTGGAGCTAGTCAGTGATTTGTCAACAGCTCTCTTCCTCGCGGCCCTTGACCGATTTATTAGTCGTCGTGGAAGATGTACTGACCTCTACAGCGATTGTGGCACAAATTTTGTAGGAGCAAAACGCTATTTAAAGGAAGTCCAAGATCTTATTGACTCTTCAAACACAGCAACGGATCTGAATAAACGCCAAATTCAATGGCATTTAAATCCACCAGCCGCTCCACACATGGGCGGACTTTGGGAAGCAGCGGTTAAGTCTGCAAAAACGCTACTTCATCGTACCATCCACGACCAAATATTAACCTATGAAGAATTAAATACCATTTTTCATCGAGTAGAGGCCACCCTTAACTCACGTCCTCTAGGAGCCATGTCCTCGGACCCGAACGATCCTCAACCTCTGACCGCTGGACATTTCTTAACTATGGGACCTCTGGGTACGCTACCTGCACCTACCACGTCATCTATCAGTTCAAGACTCGGACTTCACAAACGATGGGCTCTTGTCCAACGAATACAACTACACTTCTGGGAACGTTGGCAGAAAGATTACCTACATACCTTGCAAATAAGATCCAAGTGGCACAAGGACGAACGTAATCTCCTGATCGGGGACCTTGTCATTGTCAAAGAACCAACACCCCCTCTCACTTGGAAAACTGCACGGGTCGTGGAAGTTCACCCGGGTGAAGATGACGTAGTACGTGTGGCCACAGTTCGTGATGCAGACGGCAAACTATACAAACGTCCAGCCGCAAAGTTGTGTCTATTACCACTAGATATTTGAAGGAGACGTCCTTCAGGTGGGCGGTATGTTATGACAATTATTCTGTAATAGCCGTTTTCCGCCGTTGGTACGTACACTGTACCCCCTACTCTCCTCCCGCCATACCTTATCGCACGGATTGCGTGTACAGTTGTGCTGGACATTTTTACGTGAGAGTAGTTCGAGTGTCGCAGTAACGGTCGGACCGGGGTTGTTGTGCGGGATTGTTGTTGTTGTTATTGTTGTCAATTTGTGTACCACTCAACACCGTTGGTTTTTTTTTGTTCTACCACCGTCATTACCGTCACCACCGCCAACTACACCTACTTTACCGCCCTCAGTTGCAGCGACTACCTACCACACCGTACCACCTCACCACCTGATCACGGATTGCCTGCAGGTTCTTTTTTTTGTTTTATGTTTGTTTTATTTTATTGTTAAATATTATGAGATACTGCCTTGTTTTGTTTTATATTATTGTGAAACAACAATAATATTATTATCCCACAGCTGGCCAGCACCAATTGTGACCCCCCCAATTATCAATTATTTTATTGTATTATTCTAAATAGTAGGCCGTCAACCCGGCAATGAAACTTAACCACAACCGTGTTATTTGATTCATACAGTCCATTATATTCCGAAACAGTAACAATTACATAACATATGTAAACCAAATCTCTGTCTTTGCCATTTAAAAAACCTATTTCAGTCGTTTGCACAATTATTTATAAGAATAGAAAAATAAAAATGATTGTTTTTTTTTGTTTCAGATGATCAATGACTGTTTGAATTATACAATGGACTTTTAAAACAAAATAATTTTTGAAGTCTTCCACATAATTTTTTTTTTCATTTATGTTGTTTTGTAACCAGCAAAGTACTTATTAAATAAAGAACCATTTACAAAACCATATTTTTTGAAACTTGAAAGATAATTATGATAATTATGGTTTTTGCTGTAACTCTAAATTAAATTAATGTATATACGTGAAATTTTCACTGGATGTATATATTTACATTTTCTATACACGATAAAATTTTCAAAATATTATGATTTGTTTAGAACTGTTTAGGAACATTTTCATTTTCCATCTTTTTTTAGTTTTTTTCTAAAAATATCAATAAAATTATATTTATTGGTTAAAAAAGTTTGAAAATCTAATAAAAGGCTCCTAGTATATTGTTTCAAAGGCTGATGAAAAATAATAAAAATCCATAGCCACAGTTTTTTTTATAATCATTTAAAGTTCAAAAATTGACAAAATATGGAAAAATCGCGAAAATTAGCAAATTATTTTGAGTTAAGAATACATAAAATGTTTTCTTTTTAATCTTAGATTTTAAAATGTAGTACAAGAATCCTTATAAGATTATGTATCTTAACCAAAAAAAAATGTCTATAAGAAAGTCAAATTAATTTTTTATGAGCGGTTGAAATTCAAATTTTTACAACATTGGATGTTCACTCGATTTATCATGTAGCGATTTCCTTATTTTGTTTTAATTCAAAAACAAATAACTGTAGATAAATGAAAATATCACTAAATGTTCATATTAGCATTTCCTATACACCATACAATTTTCAAAATATTTTGACTCTTTTTAAGCTGTTTACGGACATTTTCATTTTTCAATTTTTTTAGTTTCTTTTTTTCAATTAATATCAATTAAGTTTTATCTGTTCGGAAAAAAGTGTAAAAAATTAATACAAGGCTCCTAACATATTGTTACAATATCTGTTGAAAAATATTAAAAATACATATTCTCAATTATTTTTTATAAGCATTTCAAATCAAATGATGACAAAATTTATCAAATTTAAAATTGAATAATTATTTTGTAGTTAAAAATGGATAAAATGTTCAACTTTTATATCTAAGGATTGAAAATTTAAAACGAGATTCCATGTAATGAGTTAATTCTGTTACCAAAAATCAGAAAAATACACAACCACAGTTTATTTTTATAGTCAATTTAAGTTCAAATTTGGACAAAATTACATATTAAAAAAAATAAAATAACTATGGTAGTTATTTTGTTGTGATTGTATAATATTATTCGTGGGTACTTGAAACTTCTAAAGTGTACTAATATATATCTCTGATAGTATCAGGTTTTGTTGTTGAAGTATAACGCGTTATAAGTACCTAATGGATATTGTGATAAATGATTAATTTGGAATTTATTAAGGTAGGTTATTTAGGTCAATATTTTTTTAGTTTTTTATTCTATAAATATCAATACAATATTATTTGTTGGGTTCAAATACTTGAACATTTAATAGAAGGCTCCTACTATATTGTTACAATATTAGTTAAAAAAGATTAAAAATCCCTAGTCACAGTTTTTTTTATAAGCATTTAAAGTTCAAATCTTGAAAAAATCATATGATATTATCAAATTATTTTGAGTTGAGAATTCATAAAAATTTTTTTCTAAGATTTGAAAATATAATACAAGATTACTCATAAGTTTATCTAACTTTATCAAAAAAAAAATGTCTATAAGCAAATCAAATTAAATTTGTATGAGCCTCTGAAGTTCATATTTTTACAATATTGGATATTCTCTCGATTTTTCATGTAGTGGTTTTGTTATTTTATTGTGATTCAAAAACAAATAACTGTAGATACATGAAAATTTTACTGAATGTTTATATTATAATTTTCTATACACCAAACAAATTTGAAAATATTTTGACTCTTTTTGAGCTGTTCACGGACATTATTAGTTTTATATTTCATTAGTTTTTTCTATAAATATCAATAAAATGTTATTTGTTGGGTCAAAAAGTATGAAAATTGAATGCAAGGCTCCTGATATATTTTAGTAACAATAGCAGTTGAAAAATATAAAAATACACAGTCGCAATTTTTTTTTATAAGCATTTAAAGGTCAAATGTTGACAACATTTGTTATATTTAAAATTTAATAATTATTTTGTAGTTATAAAAATTTATAAAATGTTCAACTTTTATGGCTAAGGATTGAAAATTTAAAACAAGGATCCACGGAAATGGGTAAATATATAAATTTTTTTTTCACAATAATATCATCAAATATACTCAGTAATATACTAATATCATAGGTTGACTGACTGTTTTCGTTCAGAATCGTTCTTTTTATACAATGATAATATTATATCATTGAATTCAAATTTAACACCATCAATTACACTTTACAGTGTCCCACTTGTAACCTACTATACAGCAGAGGGACTTTTTTTTAATTGATAGAGTGATTCAAGAGGAAGGTTTATATGTATATAACATGCATAATATAGTAGAGAAACACTGCCCCTTTTTTGTATGTACAAGCATATTTCGAAAAGAACTATACTTATTTTAACAGGGTTTTCATTAATAAATTTGTCGAGTCAAGGGGAAGGTTTTAAAAATGTTAATAAAAGTTATATCAATAGATTATTACTTGAAAATTGGAGTGTGTATACAGCTTGATTTTTAAACTAATATAAGCGGTAGGTATTTAAAGGGTAGCTCACACATGATTTTTTTTAGCATACGAAAAAATAAATATTTTTTGTCAATCTAAATGGTTGTAATTTGAGAAAAATGATGTGTAATAAAGCTTTCCGTGGATTTGAATTTCTCCAATTGGCTTAGTAATTTTATATATTTCTTTAGAATGTTCTATATTAGAGTATAGTTTTGCCATTTAGAATTCTTGTCAATCTTGCTGTGAGTGGCGCTCATTCAGATTGTATTGTTATCAGTATTATGTTTATTCTATAATAATATTAGCTAACTAGCTAACAAAATATATATTATGCTGTATATTATACATATAATATGTTATTGCACAGAGCCCAGTATAGGGCATGATATATTATCAATAGAAATAAAGTATTTGTAACGTGTTCAATACGAGTACCTATGCTAGATAATATATAATATGACAATTTATTGGATATTAAATATCAAGCCTGGGCATTAACGAGTTAAAAAGTTTAAGTTAAGTTAAAAAGTTAAAAAGTTAATAATTTTTAATAATATTATATATAAACGCGCCATGGAAACGGCAATATAAATATTATAAAGTATTAAAATAAATAATAATATATAATATTTATATGATAATTTATAAAAACTAATAATATACCAACAAAAATACTATGTCAACTCCATGTAAAAAAAATTGTATTTAATTTAATTCTTCGTTTTGCGCACGGAGTAAACAATTACCCCCGACGTATTAATACAGTATATTAATAATTTAATGTGATAATTTATAAAAGACTAATGAACTTTAACTTAGCATAGTTATTTTTTATTTAAGGATAACTTAACTTTAACTAGTTAAAAAAACTGGATAACTTGCCCAGCTTTGCCATTATCCACATGATGTTATAATAAATAATTATATCTTATAAGTTATAATATTATATTTAATATTGATCGCATTGTATGATAGAAGGATAGAACAAATTTATATAATATACACGATATTTATTATTATCGACCATATGCAGTATAAATTATATTATTCATATCTTTTAAACAGAAATTCAATTATAGCCTATAGGTTTATTTTAAATGCGTAGAGCTTTTTAAATGTTAGATATTAATGTTATAATTTTTCGACTTCCGTTTCGGATATCATGTTATTTCTTAAGATTTTGTCTTAAGTTTCAAAAAACGGTATTATTTTTTCCGATTTCGATTTCGGTTTCGGATACCGGTATTTATATTTTCCGATTTCGGTTTCAGTTTTGGATATCGGTATTTATGTTTTCCGATTTCGGTTTCAGTTTAGGATACCGGTATTTATTTTTTCCTTAACATCAATATTTTTATAGAATAGTAACCAAAAAAATAAAACAGTATTATAAATAGACTCTAGCCTAGAAATGGTTGTTATTGATTACAGGAGTAATAATTAGTAGGAATAAATATTTTTTTGTATATAAATAGTTGCCATTAATAATTACTCTGACGAATAAGGAAAAAGCATTTATCAAATCGTCAAATTTATGGTGTCAAATAAATAAATTATATCTT